GCGTGCCCCAGTGTGGAGGTTTGTGCTATGAGTACCCAAGATGGTGTTTCACTCCCCTTGATTAGTCTGGGTTCTAGCAACTGTGAGCTTGGCCTCTATCCAGTGCAGGACTCAGTTTATAGGCCCTTCAGGAAGTTTGAGGAAGGAACTGACGCTAGAATTTTTTTAGTCCTAACTTCTCCATGTTTCAATTTCCTCAATCCCCTAAAATGCAAAGGGCCAACGTTCCTGTTGTAGGGACAGAGACAAAGGAGGCTGCTGGGAGAGTGTAGACTGTGTCCTGCCTGGGCACCGTGGGAAGAAGCATCCTGACAGCGCTCCAGGCAGAGGACAGATGCAGCCCCAGGTTTAAACCCTGGGCTTTAAGGCCCAAGGGGAGAATGTCCCTTGGGATCTTGTCCCATCTCAAGAAATAACCCTGGGAGCCAAGCTACTAGAGCCCAACACCTCCCAGGCCGGGGCAGGGCGGGGATGCAGAGATGCCAGGAGTGACGTTGGGTAGCCAGACCGAACCCGGAGAGCCTGGGCTTGCAGGCTCCTAGCCTCTGACAGTACCCACGGTCCTCCTGGTGCCCTTTGGCTTCTCAAGGACACACCCATTGCCCAGTACCCACCTCACGCCTAGAGCCAAAGCCGCTGCTCTTTCCTCCTCCTGGTGGTGCCCGCCCCACGCCCCTCCCAATGCAAACTCCCAAAGAGCTGCTTTTCTCCGCCCTGTGTAAGCCTCTTTGTGTGATTAAAGTAATTCCCACTGAAGGAATTCATTCTTTTCTGAATGACCCTTAGGCTTAATCATCCCAAGGCGCATTTGCATTTCAAGTAGAGCGCTGGCTCTTAGAAACAGAATTCATCTTTAATTGGTGGAATGAAGGGGCACTTATTTTTTTTGCAGGGGGGTGGGAGGACTTTCCCAGGCCCAGCCTGCTCTCCCCACCTCCCCGTGCAGTGACGGGGAGCCGGGATGCTGACCAGCAGTGGTTCTCGTTCTTGCTAACGGAAGCTCTTTATGGCAGGACCTGGAGTCGTCCACTTTTAATTTTGCCAGAGTTTGTGTTATCATTGATTTTCTAACCCCATCGCCTCACGGCTCCAAAAGACAAAGAAGGAAGTCAACTCAGTCTTCTCAGTGGAATAAATTTAGCTTTATAAAAATGTACCACGTGGTCCTCAGCTTTTTTATTTTGCCACAGATTGGTGAAAACCTCACGGGGGCTGGCATTTGAGAACAACAAACTGGCTGGCCCGTAGGGCCCCGCCCAACTGTAAAGTGCTGCTGTTTTCATATACCGGGTCATAAGGCGTTAAAGATGCATTTTCAAGGTTAATAATTAATGGTAATGTTAATTTATCATAGTTTCACATAACGTCCTATAATGGAAGTGGCCCCAGGAGACAGGCTGGTAGAAGGAGATCGAGGAGCAGAGAATAACGGAAGTTGGGAGTGAATGGGGGGGCCGGTAGGGAGAGCTGCTGCCCCTTAAAGCTGTGTCCATCTTATAGTCCTGTCCCCGAAGTGTGCGTAGCAGTGGAGTTTGTGGGGCGGCACCCGACCTTCTGTACGCTCCCACCCAAGAAGCCTCAAAATGCCCCTGTGGCCTGGCTTCACCCTTGCGTGTGCGACCGTGCCCGACCCCCCGAGCGAAAGACACGAAGCGAAAATGGTAGACGTCTTGGCACGCCGGGTAGGGAAGCAATGAGAGATGCCAGCCCCAGGGGAAGACGAGGCCCTGGCACTTCAAGGGGGGACCTTTCTGTTTCCAGCCTGGGTTTGTTGTCACAAGCTGCGCTGGCCCCAGCCCTTGTTACCGGGTCTCCTGGGCCTGACCGGGAGGTTTTACTCACGGGTTTTTCTCATTCCCGTTCCAGGTGTGTGTGGCTGCTGCGGCGCCCTACGGCCCAGGTACAAAAGGCTGGTTGACAACATCTTCCCCGAGGATCCCGAGGTGGGTCACGTCTCCGGCAGGCATCGCGGCTCTCCCCGTGGTGGCGGGGGGAGGGCAGGCCTCTCAGCAGCCCCAGCCACTGGGCCTTTCCAGACAAACTGAGACCTCGGCCGCAGCCCTGGGCAGGGGACATGAGGGATGAGGAGGACGTGTGGATCTCTCTGAAGTCAGCATCTCCGGGAGGCAGCTGAAGTTCGTGTGGGCCTGCTTTTGGCCATTACTGTCCAACTGAGACATCTTTCTCACGCATGCCTCTCTGGGTGAAGGTTCCTGAGCTGCCGACTCTCTGGGTGGTGACATTTCCCTGCTGTTTAGTGTGAGCACTCTCCTGTCTTGGTTTTGCTCAGGAGCCCGTGTCTTTCCTGGCTCCTGCCAGTGTCTGCCAGTGTCTGGGGGAGCAGGGACCGTGGGAGGCCTGGCTCCTTGGCTTCCAAGCTCCCCCTCCGCCGTCAGGCTGCTTTACGGGTTGTGGGCTGAGAAACCTCAGGACCTGATGTAACTTGACTTGCTCTCTGGGAATCAGCGGCCTCTTCTTGATGGGCAGGGAGAGGATCTTGTTTCCAGCATCCTCTGGAGAATTCCCTAATTGCTGCAGAGCTGCCTTCTTCCTGTGCACGTCTTGGTGCCGGATATCCAGCACGTTTTAATTCTGAGTCGCTTTTAATGAAGCCTGTCATTCATTCATACACCCTCACACACATACACTCATATGTATATATACACACACCCACACATATGCATGTATACATTCATGTGTGTATACACATATGTGTACACACATATCCACACACATGCACATGTATATATACATTTATATCATTTACTATTCTTATGTATAACTAGCACACTTTGGGCTAGATTGTGAGTTTCTGGAGGGCAGGAACTATGTTTTAATCACCTGTGTGCCCCTGAAACCCACGTGTTGTCTGGCATGTGCATAATGGGCACTCTGTAAATGCTGATTAAATTAAATTATTATTTCCCTCTAGACTTGAACTCGCCTAGCCCTGGTATGGCCACAGTGAGTGTGAACTGTCTTCTCTTGTAGGATGGCCTGGTGAAAACCAACATGGAGAAGCTGACCTTCTATGCCCTCTCAGCTCCGGAAAAACTAGACCGTATTGGCGCCTACCTCTCCGAGAGACTCATCCGGGATGTGGGTCGTCATCGATACGGGTAAGTAGTCTGCGAAGGAGGGAGAGAGATTTTCAGAAACTGTGTTATGTTGTTAGGCTAAACATAGGGTCCTTTTAAGAAAATGACAGTAGACTGGATTATGGAACAGACCGAGAAACTGGTGACTGGGATTGAGGAGTGTGTCCCGTGTGCTCTTCCAAAGGCAGGGTAAAATCTGATGCCACTGCCAAGGTTTGGGAAGAAGGAAATGCTGACTTCCTAGGAGCACCTCTTTTAGCACCACCCACCCCTTGTGTCTCTGTACAGAAGCC